CCGATGAGTCAACCCACCCCCTCCGAGGCTGGACCCTGGCAGGCACGTGTGCATGTGTGCCCAAAATACTGAGAGGAGAATGGAGGAGAAGGAATTATGGCGTGGCTATCCTCCCTAGGGGGGTGATTTCTCACTTTCTATTTCTCTCTGTTTCTCTGATGAACACACATGCCCTAGAGCAAAAATCTAAAATCATAATAATAACTGAAAACAGACCTCAAAATCCTTTGAACATTTACTATGGGCCAGGCTCTATGCTAAACATTTACCAGGTCTTCTTAATTTCTCACAGCAGCCATAAGGGTAGATTTACTGTTTTCATCTGTATTTTCCTAGTGAGGATCAATAACTTGCCAGAGTTCACATGGCCAGTAGGTGGGAGCCTATCAGCACCCCTGACTGAACATATTATCTCATTTAATCTTTTTTTTTTTTTTTTGGAGAGGTTTTTGCTATAGGGCACGTGCGCTCACCAGAGAGACACAGAGAGACAGAGAGACAGAAAACATTAGATCACCCCCCCAAGGGGATGGCCACGCCACAATAGATCACCCCCACAAGGGGATGGCCACGCCACAATCCCTTCTCCTCCATTCTCCTCTCAGGATCTTGGGCATGCATGCACACACACCTGGCGTGAGTTTAAGCCACTGGGTCCGGGACTCGAACTGCAGTTGACTACACAGGAGTCCAGCAACATAGCCATTACACTAACTGCTGGTCCCTCTCATTTAATCTTTACAATGACCTCGGAGGACACTGCCATCATTGTTCTCATTTGATATGATAGTGACAGTGTGGAATCATGGTTCCAAGCATAGACCTAAGGGTATGTATCTGGGTTCAATTCCCAGGTCTTGTCATTATCAGGTGTGTGGCCCTAGTTAATATCCCTCTGACTAGGCTCCTGATCTGAAATGGGTATCATTATAGAAGTCATTTTGTAGATGCTATGGAAATGAAATGAAGTAATTCATGTATAGTACTTGGGGCATTACATATTATTTAAATGTTACTATGGGTAGGAAACTGTGGCTCCGAGAAGTGCCCCATAGCCTGGCAGTGGTGAAATTCTAGAGAGACAGGAAGCCCTGGAGTTCGTTAGCAGAGCTGAATACCAGGAAGCTGTCCTGATTTATGTTTGGTGGGGATGGCTCCAGGGCGCAGCTATCACACTGAGAGGCAGCAAAGCGTGGTGTGAGGAATGTGGAATTTAGAGCCAGACTGCCCAAGTTCATGCCACTGTCTGTCACTGACTAGTCCTGGGACCTTGGGCAAGTCACGTAGCCTCCATGTGCCTCATATCCTCATCTGAAACACACTGGCTGTCATGTTTCTTATGGGGCTATTGTGAGACCCAAGTGAGTTCCTACCCATATGAGAGCATTAGTGCCTGGCACGTGGTAAATATGGTGGATCTGCTGTGGTCGTGGTGATGAAGCAATGATTCAAGAGGAAGAAAGGGAATTCACAGAGGGGTGACATAGAGATAGAGGGTTGGGTGCATAGTGTGGATGGAGAGAAGAGAAATGCAGTGAAGGAACGGCTAGCAGAATAAAGCCAGAACAACAGAACTGACAGGGTTTGGAGCAAGGAGCAAATTGTACTTGGAGAAGGCTGCCAGCCCTGGCTAAAATATTTTTAGCTGAACACATTTAAGGTTAGTATGGTCATGATTTGGGTGTAGCTCTCACAAAAATAAAAAGGGAAGAAGAAAGGGAAACGTGTCATGTTTCCTTTGGCAGAAAAGAGTCCAGTTCGAATGTGTCGAAACCTGGTCTCTGCAGTGGTTCTCAAATGTGTGGGGGACAGGCAGCTCCCTGTGGTCACCATCTTCTCTGTGGAGGGCCTCCCTACCACCAAGCTTTTCGTGGAACGCTGTGTTTGTTTTGATGGCTTAATTCCATGTAAACACACCAGTGTTACCGGCAGAAATAGGATTGCACCATGAGATTAAGTATCAAGTCAGAAGTGCAAGTCCGGGCGCCGCACATGACACGAGCCCTCAAAACAGCTGCTCAAACGGCTCCATTCACGTTCGCTTGCCATGTGTTCAGTGGATTTTTCGCTTATTAGCCTTTGCTAGCAGACTGCCCAACTGAGAGCAAAAGTTACAAAAACATTTAAAGGGATAATAAAAATCCTTCCAAACGAGAAAATGTCTGCAGATTGGGTAATCCCATCCTCATTGGTTTCCATTGGCAAGACTCCATAATCCGGTTTATGGAGGGGAGGTAAGAGTCATAGGACCCACAGTTGGTTTCGGGCTTGTCCTAGAAATGAGTGACTCCTTTGACTGTCAGTCACTGATTGTCCTGTTCCAGCCCTGTCTCCTGCAATTATGAAGGAGACTCACTACCCTTTTCTATTGATGGGGCCAGGGTTCACCATGTGACCCTTCCTATTCATGACACATTACGCATAATTCCCTGGGGAAGCGGTGACGCACAGGGTGAACCAGGTGCCTACCTTTACTGAGCTAGGGAAGATAAACATCAAACATATTTTTTTAAAAAGGTAATTTTCAAAAAGTTTGGAGAGGAAATAAACAGGGTGAAGTGGAGAGAAACTGGCAGGAAAAGGGATGACGCTAGGCCAAGAGGGTCAGGAAAGGCCTCTCTGCAGAAGAGATATTTAGCTTAAGGGCTAAAAGAGTTTTTCATTAGCTGATGTTGAAGCAGCTGATTAGCTAACCAAAAAGGAGGGAAGAAAAGGTATCTTAGGTTCTCATCTCACATCACATAACACAATTAATTTCACATGGATCCAAGAATGAAAGGTAATAAACAGATTTTTAAAATAAAGATCTAGGAGAAAGTAAATATTTGATTTATGAATGAGAAAGAACATTCTGAACTTAAAAGCAAATCAAGTCTCTGAAGAAAAATATATTAAACTTAACTATTTAGAAATATGATTTTTCTATATATACCCCGAAACAGTATGAATAAAATTAAAAGGGAATGAACATGGAAAATATCTGCAACAAATATAAATTTATTAATATAGCTAATGTATACAAGGTTCATGCAGTTAAGAAATGAGACCCCATAAAAATGAACAAGGAGTATGAAGAGTTGATTCACAAAGGAGAGAAATGCAAAGTAGTTAACTGATATATATATATATAAACCTATTCCTTGGGAACCAGCAGTTAGCGTAATGGCTATGTCGCTGGACTCCCACGTAGTCGACCGTGGTTCACGTCCCGGACCCGGTGGCTTAAAACTCACGCCGGGCGCGTGTGCGTGCGTGCCCAAGATCCCGAGAGGAGAATGGAGGAGAAGGGATTGCGGCGTGACCATCCCCCCTGGGGGGTGATTTCTCGCTTTCTGTCTCTATGTCTCTCTCTGTCTGTCTGGCGAGCGCACGCGCCCTACAGTGAAAATCTCTCCAAAAAAAAAAAAAAAAAAAAAAAAACACCATTTCCTTTACAACATCCAGC